TTCTTAAACCATAGTTACCCTGTGGAAATAGAGAGAGGGAGAGAGAGAGGCTGAGCTGGGGATAAAAAACACAGTTTATGTGGTTTTTGCCAAGAACCAGTGGTAACTGGAACATTTTTACTCAACATACTACTTGGACAAAACTGAACTCCTGTGGCTCTCTGTCCCTTAATTAAGGCTACTGTCCCTACTAAATGATAAAATCCAAGAGGGATATGTCGTGTCTTATTCACCAATGTAACTCCAGCATCTAGCACTGTGCAGGTCATTTAATACAAGCTTGATGATTGATTGTTGGACACAAAGTCATCCTATATCAAAGGACACAAAATGGGTACTTTTGACAATTTGTACTATCTGTGCTTTAAGAAGATAATTTTGTGGTCACTCATTCATCAATACCTAATAATCTTTATCTTGATTTTTTCAACCATTTCTTTGGAGGCACTGGTCTCTGTAAAACTTACATTTTAATAACCAGCATGATATTCTTTACTTGCATCCCTATGCATCAACATTTTTCCTCCTTTTAAAAAATGGCTGAAAATCAGTTCCAGGAGACAATACATGTTTCAAAATATGCTCTTCCTTCTAAGGGGAGGTAGACTACTCAAAGAATGAAAATGCACAGTACTCAGGCCAAAGATAGTATGGTATTTTTCTTTAAAAAGTATTACGAGTGTGTGTACACACACACACACGTACATATATATGTATCTATGCACATTTAATGTATATTTTAAAAATTCTTTATATGGTACACTGTTTATAAAAATTTTCTCGTACAGAAAGGCTGTCATTCCATATCTTCTTTCACGCCTCAAATGTGGATGCTATCCTGTCTTCTCCCTTTTTCTGTCTTGCACCAAGTAATCTCATTTTCTTCCACATTTTGAACAATCACCTGTGTAGATGATTTCAAATCTATTAGCTTTGACTTCTCTCCTGAGTTTTAGAACCACACTTCAAATAACTTGCTAGATATCTCTACCTATCCTACCAAAACCTCAAATATAACACAGAAAAAAGAGAACCTATAAAAATTGAACAAGAAAAACTACATCTCACATAGAACTGTATCTCACTAATGTGGTGTGTGTGTGTATGTGTGAAAAACACAGTAGAGACAGACCCCTGGTTTCATTAAGATGTAGTCCTAGAAAATATAGCTTTAATTGGGGGTTACATTTCTGTCCAAGGCTCCAGTATCACAAATGATAGCTACAGATTTACAAAACCACAATAATATTAGGATTAAAAGAGGCTTTAGAACTCATTTAACTCAGTCCTTCTATTTAGCAGATGAGAAAAAGGAGACACCAACAATCCTATAATCCTATAGCTAACTAGTAATCCTGTAAGTACTGAACCTGGGCCTCCTGGCATCTAGGCTAGAGCTCTTTCCACTGAACACTTGACTTTCACACCTAAAGGAGTCTGGGAGTGTCCTAATAACTCAATCAGCATAAGGAGCAGAATGCCCATTAATTGTATCTATTTATATAGTGGGCTTCTATATAAAACTTGGCTTTAAATATGTTGTCATAATTAAACACTGGCATGTCATAAATGGAAATGTAGCACTACAATCTTTTCAATCTGAAAAGGTAAAATGATCATTTTTTTTTACCCATTTTACACAAAGAATCACAATGTATTACATAAAATTATAAATATACTAAAAATCCAACATAAAACTAAAATGCTAGAGTAAGTATCAAAATGAAAATATTTAATTAACAGTAAGTCTAATTATCTTATAAAAACATTAAAGTCCTTTGAGGAAGTGGTTTAGGTACCCCAAACCACATTTTAGAAAATGTTCAGGAAAGTATAAATTGATCAGATTATTTTTTTAAAACAATGTTTTTGTTTTTCAAAGAAGCCCATGGAAATAACATAATTCTTCATTAATATGGCTCCATCTCCAGCAACTGTTCAATTTACATTTTATGCTGAAGCAATTCAAACTATTTTCAGCTTGCTGAAATATGGCAGGCAGTTTTATTCACACTATTCTCCATGCCTATCACTCATTCTCTTACTCATTCATCTACCTATTTGACTTCAAAACCCAGATCTCACCTCATTTGGGAAGACAGCCTTGTTTCTTGTCTTTTTCTAAGGCAGAATTAATCTCATTTATTTAACTGATTTACTGAATCTATTAAATACTGTATCTTCTATTAGGTGCTGGATATATAAGCTCACCTCATTTTATTAGACTTCACTTTATCATGCTTTGCAAATACTGCATTTTTTACAATTGAAGGTTTGTGGCAACTGCACTGAGCAAGGCGACTGGTGCCATTTCCCCATAGCATTTGCTCACTTCATGTCTGTGTCACATTTTGGTAATTTTCACAATATTTCAAACTTTTTCATTACTATTATATTTGTTATGGTGGTCTGTGATCAGTGCTCTGATATTACTATTGCAATTGTTTTAAGGCACTCATATAAAATGTCGAACTTAAAAAATGTTGTGCGTGTTCTGACTGCTCTACTAACTGGCCATTCCCTGTCTCTCTCCCTCTCCTTGGGTCTCCTTATTCCTTTAGACATATGAATCTTGAAATCAGGCCAATTAATAACCCTACAATGACCTCTAAGTGTTCACTTTAAATCAAAAGCTAGAAATGATTAAGCTTAGTGACGAAGGCATATCAAAAGCCAAGACAGGCTAAAGCTAGGCCTCTCCTTCCAGTAAGCCAAATTGTGAATGCAAAATAAAAGTTCTTGAAGAAAATTAAAAGTGCTACTATTCGAGGGAACACACAAATGAGAAGCAAGAAGCTTTATTGCTGCTATGGAGAAAATCTGAATGGTCTGGATGAGCGACAACATTCTCTTAAACTAAAGACAAATCCAGAGCAAGTCCCTAACTCTTCAATTCTATCAAGGCTGAGCGAGGTAATGCTGCTGCCGAAGTCTAAAGCTATCAGAGGCTGGTTCATGAGGTTTAAGGAAGAAGCTCTCTCCATAACATAACAGCACGAAGTGAAGTAGTAAATGCTGCTATAGAAGATACAGCAAGATATCCAGAACATCTAGCCAAGATAATTCATAAAAGTGGCCATGCTTAACAACAGATTTTCAATGTAGATGAGGAGACAACCTTGTATTAGAAGGAAATGCCAATTAGGACTTCCATAGGTGGAGAGGAGAAATCCATGCCTGGCTTCAAAACATCCAATGACAGGACAACTCTGTAGTTGGATGCTAACACAGCTGGTGACTTTAAGTTAAAGCCAATGCTCACTTACCATCTGAAAATCCTGGGGCCCTTAAGAATTATGCTAAATCTACTATGCCTGTGCTCTATAAATGGAACAACAAAGCCTGGATGACAGCACATCTGTCTACAACATTGTTTTACTCAGTATTTTAAGCCCACTATTGAAACCTACTACTCAAAACAAAAGATTCCTTTCAAAATATTACCGTTCATTGACAATGCACCTGGTCACCCAAGAGCTCTAATGAAGATATATGAGATTAATGCTTTCATGCCGGCTAGCAAAACATATATTCTGCAGGCCACGGATCAAGAAGTAATTTCAACTTTTAAGTCTCATTATTTAAGAAAAACACTTCATAAGGCTATAGCTTCCATAGGTAGTGATCCCTCTGATAGATCTAGGCAAAGTAAATAAAAAACCTTCTGGAAAAGATTCACCATTATAGATGCCATTAAAAACATACATGATTCATGGGAAGAGGTCAAAATATCAACATTAACAGGACTTGAGAAGAAGTTGATTCCAACCTTCATGGATGACTTTGAGGGGTTAAAGACTTAAGTGAGGAACTAACTACAAATGTGGTAGAAACAGCAAGAGAGAATTGTGTTCGCAGCCGCCTTCACTCTCTAACGCCTGCACCGCCTCCAGCTCGCCTTAGCTCCAGCCGAAGGAGAAAGGGGGTAAGTAAAGAGGTCTCTATACCATGGCTCGTACAAAGCAGACTGCCCGCAAATCCACCGGTGGTAAATCACCGAGGGAACAACTGGCTACCAAAGCGGCTCGCAAGAGTGCGCCCTCTACTGGAGGGGTGAAGAAACCTCATCGTTACAGGCCTGGTACCTTGGCACTTTGTGAAATTAGACGTTATCAGAAGTCCACTGAACTTCTGATTCGCAAACTTCCCTTCCAGCGTCTGGTGCGATAAATTGCTCAGGACTTCAAAACAGATCTGCGCTTCCAGAGTGCAGCTATTGGTGCTTTGCAGGAGGCAAGTGAGGCCTATCTGGTTGGCCTTTTTGAAGACACCAACCTGTGTGCTATCCATGCCAAACGTGTAACAATTATGCCAAAAGACATCCAGCTAGCACGCCGCATACGTGGAGAACGTGCTTAAGAATCCACTCTAATGGGAAACATTTCATTCTTTAAAAAAAAAAAAATTCTCTTCTTCCTGTTATTGGTAGTTCTGAACGTTAGATATTTTTTTTCCATGGGGTCAAAAGGTACCTAAGTATATGATTGCAAGTTGAAAATAGGGTACAGAAATCAGGTATTGGCAGTTTTTCCATTTTCATTTGTGTGTGAATTTTTTTAATATAAATGCGGGGACATAAGGCATTAATGCAAGCCAAAATGTTTCAGTGAACAAGTTTCAGCCGTTCAACTTTATAACAATATAAATAAACCTATTAAATTTTTCTGGAAAAAAAAAAAAAAAGAAACAGCAAGAGAACTAGAATTAGAAGTGGAGCCTGAAGATGTGACTCAATTGCAGCAATCTCATGATGAAACTTTAATGGATAAGAACATGCTTCTTACAGATGAGCAAATAAAGTGGTTTCTTGAAATGGAAACTACTCCTGGTGAAGACGCTGTGAAGACTGTTGAAATGACAACAAAGGATTTAAAATATTACAATAAACTTAGTGGGTATAAGAGAATTTACTCCAATTTTAAAAGTAGTTATACTATAGGTAAAATGCTATCAAATAGCATCACATACTATGGAGAAATCATTCATTAAAGAGTCCATCAATGCAGCAAACTTCACTGTTGTTTTATTTTAAGAAATTGCCACAGCCAGCCCAACCTTCAGTAACTGCCACCCTCATCAGTGAGCAGCCATCAACATGGAGGCAAGACCCACCATCAGCAAAAAGATTACAACTCACTGAAGGCTCAGATGATGTAAGGCAGCATTGTTTTAGCAATAAAGTGTTTTTGTTAAGGTATGTACATTGTTATTTTAGATATAATGCTATTGCAGTTAATAAATTATAGTATAGTGTAAATATAACTTTTATATGTACTGGGCAACCAAAAAATGTGTGACTCACTTTATTATTCGCTTTATTGTGGTGGCCTTGAAGCAAATCCACAATATATCTGAGGTATGTCTGTCTGTATACAGATGAATCAAAATGGACCTAATACTCTGGTATGTAGACTCAAATAAACTGTATATAACTACAGAGGTAAAATGCTATAGTTTAAAACAAACAAACAAAAAAACACTTGATACCGCTCATAATTCAGGCACATATAATTCAAATGTTAAGTTTAACACCTTGCATAAAATAAAACTTTAGAAATGAAAATTCAAATAGTTTTATTAGTTGGTGTCTATTAATAGCCAAATAAAACCTATTATGTAAATAATGCATGATGCCAACGGTTCTTCTAAATTTCTGAATATTAACCTTTATCATATCTTGTATCTGTCAAATTGAGATCACAAGGTTCATTTATACAAGAGACTAATAAATTATTTTACTTCCTTGAAAACAAAAATACTTCAAACCTCTGACTGAAAAACATCGGCAATGGTAAATATTTAAAGACAAGCAGAACACCAATACCTGAAATACACAGACTTTGCTCTTTATCTTTTAAGGAAGATACTGTTAAGAGATTTCTTTAATGAACAGACAGAAGTAGTACTACATTTCCTATACACACAGAATAAAAAACACTTCTCTTCTATTAGATAATGTTAGAGCTAAAGTGTTCCATTCTATCTAAATGATACTCAAAAATATTTAATAAATAAAATGATTCAAATTATTCAAGATTATACAGAAAGGTTACCCTGCCAAATCTTATGACAGCCTTCTGAAGCCATCTACAGCTAATAGTCACTGAGGGTGTGTGTGTGTGTGCGCGCACACACACAATTAAAATAAGCACTTAGAATTGGGTTTAAACTGAGATTTCCCTTATTTCCATTCTTCAAAAATATTATGTTTTACACTTAAATTTACTGATATAGAAAACTTCATATACTTCTTTAAATGCAATTACTGTAGGTACTTTAAGTAAGATTAACGCAAAAAATTCACTAAAGAATTAATGATAGCCATGAATAAGAATCTTATATGATCAGGACAGGAATTCTTTTAAGATACAATCATGATATGCAACTGAAGATGCCACTCATTGAATTTTAAACCTTCCTTAGGACAGCCTGCTTCTATCTTGACAGTTCATTTTGTCTCTAGTAATTTCTAAGATTCAGAAGCAACTTTGTTGTCTATTATTGCCAGATTTTGTGGAATCTGAAAAAGGAATAAGGTCTAAATCAATTCCTAGTTATTTGATATATGAGTCCTCTAAGTGTACTCAGAATCCCTTGGGTAAACGCCAGAAAACATTATATTGAATTCTGATGAATCTTTAATAGCCTTTTCTAGCTAATGGCTCTCTGAAGAATTAGAAAGGCTTCTAGATTGTATTTTGTCATATCTTGAGCCCAGATCTGCTACTTTTATTTATAAATATAACAGGAAAATTGGAAATAAAACTGGTATTCTCAAAACCTTTACAATAGTAAATAATAAAGGTTTGCACTGTTAAATCTCTTTCTCAGTGTTATGATGATTTAGTCAATGTTTGATGCTTTTAGATGCTTATTTCTCCTCATTCTGTGGTTTATCAAAGCAGAAATCCTTTGTAACAAAATTTTAAAGACAAAAATGAAACAAGTTAGAGAATTTAAATCTTTTCCATAAATAAAATGGGGCCTGTTAATTAGCCTTTAGGTCCATGGATGCAATGATCTTTTTTTCCCTCCTGAGCTCCTCTTATTTGAGGGGACACAAAAATGAATGAGGACATGGCATCTGCCCTTAAAGATTTCAGCTCACAGAGGAGCTAGACATACAAACAATGACTTCACACAATATGATGAGGTTAAAATGAATTTAATATCTAAGGTACAATGATGACCAAAACAAAAAGAGTGACCACTGTTGACGGTATATGAGGAGTATCAGAAGCCTTCACAAGTAAAACACACTTGAACTGGGGAATAAAGGATAAATAAGGTGCAACAGATAAGAAAGGAGGGTTTTTAGTATAAAAGCTAGCATACTAAAAAAAATAGAGGCCAAGACAAAATGATGTGTTGGAGAAACTACAAGAGTTAGACCAAAGAGTACCTGTGGGGAAAACTAAGACTGGGAAGGGCAGACTTTGTATGTCATACTAAGAAGTTAGAAAGTGATCAGGAAAACAGAAAATAATTGAAGAATTTTAAACAAAACATTGACATAATTAGATCTGTATGCTGAAAAATCTCTCTGCTACAAGGATAGTTTTCTATGAATCATTCATATTAAAACCTTGACTGATGTTTAGTCTAAATAAGTCCCTTTCCTTGTACTCATCAATGGCAGGGAGTAAGAACATGAAAAGAAGAAAAACAAATTTGCCCCTCAACTGGCACTCATTCAATAAATACTGAAGCTCTACTGTGTACAAGATGCTATTCTAAATGTCAGAGATCCAACAAAACAAGATATACAAACTCCTGGCTCTCATTGAGCTTATATTTTAATTTTTTAAAAAAAAGGGTTCCAGCCATTTGGTTTGGTTTTGTTTGTTTGTTTTTTTATTTTTATTTTTTTTTTATCCTCACCCGAGAACATTTTTCCATTTTTTGTTCAGGTAGAGTGGGAGGGAGAGAGAGGAACAGAGAGAGAGAGAAACATCGACGTGAAAGGAACACATCGAGTGGCTGCCACCCGCACGACCGACCAGGGCCGGGGACAAACTGCAACCGAGGTACACGCCCTTAGCGGAACCGATCCCGGGTCTCTCAGGACCGCAGGCCGACGCTCTAACCGCTGAGCCAAACTGGCCAGGGCTAAGATTCTGTTTTAAAAAAACAAATAGCCCTGGCCGGTTTGGCTCAGCGGTTAGAGCGTCGGCCTGCGGTCTGGAGAGACCAGGGTTCGGTTCCCGCTAAGGGCACGTACCTCGGTTGCAGTTTGTCCCCGGCCCTGGTCGGTCGTGCGGGTGGCAGCCACTCGATGTGTCCCTTCACGTCGATGTTTCTGTCTGTCTCTCCCTTCCTCTCCCTCCCTCCCACTCTATCTATACAAAAAATGGAAAAATATCCTCGGGTGAGGATTAAAAAAAATAATAATAAAACAGAATCTTATTTTAAACCTTAATCTACTGAAATGAGACATAAGTATAAAAGGAGAAACTTCATGCTTCCAACTTCTGCTTCTAGGTTGGAGTCATAGTGGTGGCCAATTCAAGCCCTGTCAACCCTGAGGTGGTCTTTTATGTCAGTTTTGGCAGCCAGGAAATTGGCCACATGAAGATCAAGCTCTTTGCAGACATTGTGCCTAAGATGGCCAAGAACTTTAGGCAGTTCTGTACTGGAGAATTAAGAAAAGATGAGGTTCTAATAGGATACAAAGGGAGCACTTTCCACAAGGCCATACAGGATTTCATGATTCAGGGTGGAGATTTTTTTTAACAGAGACTGTACTGGAGTTGCCAGTATTTACTGGGGGCCATTTGCAGATGAAAATTTTAAACTCAGGCACTCAGCTCCAGGCCTGCTTTCTATGGCAAACAGTGGTCCCAGTACAATTGGCTGTCAATTCTTTATCACTTGCTCTAGGTGTGATTGGCTGGGTAGAAAGCACGTGGTGTTTGGAAAAATCACTGATGGACTTCTAGTGATGAGAAAGACTGAGAATGTTCCCATAGGCCCCAACAATAAGCCCAAGCTGCCTGTGGTGATCTCAGTGTGGGGAGATGTAGTCCAGAACAAAACTAAATCAGACCTCCATCTCTTTGCCTTTGTAGGCCTGCCCTTGCTCTGGGTGATGCTCTTGAGTAAAATAATCTGGAATGGTCCATTTACTTGCCTGTTTGCTGTTGCCCTGTTTGTTCAAGGGACCTTGGAAGTATCACTGATTCAGAACCCAAGATTTTTCGTGTTTTTCAACTGTAAATAAAATTTTTTTTGGTGGGGGAGTGGGGAGTAAAAGGGAAACTATAGATATAACTAAAGTACATGCAATAATCCTTTTGTTTGTTTGTTTTTGTTTTTAATCCTCACCTGAGGACACTTTCCCATTAATTTTTCAGATAGAATGGGAGGGAGGGAGGGAAGGAAATATCGATATGAGAGAGACACACTGATTGGTTGCCTGCTGCACGAGGCCGGGATCGAACCACAACCCAGGTATGTGCCCTTGACTGGAATCAAACCTGCAACCTTTGGTCTATGGGTTGACACCCCAACTGCTGAGTCAAATCAGCCAAGGTCTGTATTCTATCTAAACTTCATATAACCACCATATTATCTATTCATTCCACTCCTTGCCTATTGCCTTGCAACCTTTTCTGGAAGCCATAGCCCCTAACCACATTAGGATAATTCAGAGGAAAAAGAGTTCTGTTCATGGAGTACATATGAAATGAATGAATGAACCACACTGTTAAGTTCCATATAGTATTAGCTATATCATTATGAGTTAAACATACTTCATAGGGTGGGTTAAGAATCTAATCACTGTTTGTAATACCGCCTCTCTAGGAGAGGGTATTTCAAATCCTAAGCAATTCACAAACCTACTTTTGAAACTCAATTCATTATTAAGTGGGAATTGGCTACATACCTAGATAAAAATTTAAGTTTTTCTTTTTTTATTTCAAAGAGAGAGAGGAAGGGAGAGGGAGAGAGAAATGGAAACATCAATGAGAGAGAACATCAATTGGCTGCCTCCTGTGCCCCCAACTGGGGATTTGGCCCACAACCTGGGCCTGTGCCCTGACCAGGAATCGAACCAGCGACCTCTTGGTGCACAGGTCAATGTTCAACCACTAAGCCACAACGGCCGGGCTAAGTTTGTCTTCTTAAAATAACTTTTTACAGTCTCACTGAAGCTTTACATTTAAAAATTCCCCAATACAAACATATTAAATAACCCTCAAATTTAACAGAATTAAGAGAAATGCAAATTAAAGGATCAATAAGATATCATTTTACTCTTATCAGACTAGTAAAAAGTAAAATGATCAATAACACCTATTGTTGACAGCAATGGTAAGAAAAGGTTATTTTATTACCTTGCTAGGAGATATGCTGACTGGTAACAGACTTTTAAAATAAAAGTGTGGCTCAGTTGACTGGAATGTCGGCTGTACACCGAAAGGTTTTGTGTTCAATCCCTGGTTGGTGTGCATATGGGAGGCAATCAATAGATCTTTTTCTTTCTCTCTCTCCCTTACTCTCTAAAATAAAAATAAATAAATATTTAAAAGTAATTCAGTAACTACTATTAAAATTAAAAATAAATGTACCCTGTGGCCCAGCTAACACATTCTTGGGAATTTATCCTCTAGCAATAAAAGGATCCACATATAAACACTGTATTGCACCACTGTTCTTAGTGACAAAAAAAAAAAAAAAGAAATAATGTAAATGTCCATCAGTTAGGAAATGTTTGAATAAATTATGGAATATTATTATTATGGGCTAAATTGTATCCCCTAAAATTTCATATGTTGAAGTCCTAATTCCCAGTACTTCAGAATATTACTATATTTGGAGATAGTGTCTTTACAGAGGTAATTAGTTAAACTGAAGTCATTAGGTTAGGCCCTAATCCAATATGACTGGTGTTCTTACAAGAAGAGAAAATCTGGACACACATATACAGAGGGAAGACTACATGGAGACACAGGGAGAAAACAGCCATTTACAAGACAAGGAAAGAGGCCTCAGAAAAAATCAACCTTGCCAACACCTCGATCTTGGACTTATAGCCTCCATAATTGTAATAAAATAAATTTCTGTTGTTTAAGCTTCTTGTGTGGTTTTTGTTATAGCAGCCCTGACAAACTAACACAATTATGTAGCCATTAAAAAGAATAAATTAGCCCCGGCCGGTTTGGCTCAGCGGTTAAAGCGTCGGCCTGCGGTCCGGAGAGACCCGGGTTCGGTTCCCGCTAAGGGCACGTACCTCGGTTGCAGTTTGTCCCCGGCCCTGGTTGGTTGTGCGGGTGGCAGCCACTCGATGTGTCCCTTTCACATCGATGTTTCTCTCTCTCTCTCTTTCCCTCCTGCTCTATCTGAACAAAGAATGAAAAAGTGTCCTCGGGTGAGGATAAAAAAAAAAAAAAAAGAATAAATTAAGTCCTGTTTGGGTACTTAGTTGGTTAGAGCGTTAGAGCATTTTCCCAATACACCGAGGTTGCAGGTTTGATCCCCAGGCAGGGCACATACAAGAATCAACCACAGCCCGGCCAGTGTGGCTCAGTTGGTTGAGTGTTGCTTCATGCAACACTCAGTTGGTGTGTGTTTATAATGTATTATAGATACACATTTGTACACGAACATGACAACACTGAGAGAAATATGGAATAATACAGCCTAGCTCATTAACATGGGTTAGAGGGTCCTGGCAGGGGAAGGGTGTGGATGAAAGAAAAGAATGAACGAACCACTCCCCTACCCCAACAAAAAACCGTACTGAAAATAATTGTGTCATATTCATGCACTTTTGTAACATTTTATGTACATATATAAATTTTTTTAATGTAAAATTTTCATTTAAATAAAATGTTTTACAATTGTTTTTCTGTGTGTGTGTGTGTGTACACATTAGCCATGGGAAAGGCAATATTCAAAGTCTTTTCCCACAGAAAATAACTACACACATCAAATCCCAAACATGTATCAAGTGCCAAGTTCATATCATCTTTCATTTGTTCTGCTCTAAAAACAATATGTATGACCTTCCCAAACAAAATTTCTTCTTACTTTCTGTGATAAGAGTTCCCATCAATAAAACAACTGATTCAAGAAAAGAATCTCTGGTTTTTTAGTTCTTCTTCAAGTATGTTCTTAATCTTCACACTCAAGTCTTCCAAATGTGGCAGAAATCCCTTTTCAGTGATGCCAATTTATAAAAATCCCCCCTGCCCCAGTGCTCCTATCCATCCTATCCTATTTTGAGTTTTAATCTCATTCTAAGAGGCATCTTTAAAGCTGGAGTAGAAATTCATAATACATGTGTGTCCATTGTCTGTTCTTTGGCAGTTCCCCTAAAAATTCCAAAAGGTGGCAGTTTGTGGCTTGAATATCTTTCTAGTAAGGTTTACTGATTGATTGTCTATACCTCTAAGCATTAGATTCTAAAATCTAGTAAATCAAAGGTATGGAAGTTCAAATTCAAACTTTTCCAAATAGATCAGGCTCTTTGATGTGTGATCATTAACAGTAAATTGATTTACTGAATGAATGAAACAGAATTCTCCATATTTATACTTTTATTTCTAGAAGGTAAAATGGCCAATGTTGGAATGATACAGAGAAGATTAGCATGGTCCCTGCGCAAGGATGACACGCAAATTCGTGAAGCAGTCCATATTTTTTATACTTTCAACAATAAAGATAAAATTTTTTAAATGTTAAAAACAAATGGCCAATGTCATCTGTGAATTCCACTTATAAATTTTATTCATTTTCATATTTTCTGAGTAAAAGAGGCTACATCCCAAATATGATACATGCACACATGATATTGTGCTAGATACTAAGAATATAAGACAAACATAGTCCCTGCCCTCTTAGACCTTAGAAGTACAGGAGGACAACAAGACATTAATCACAAAAAATAACTACATAATAAGGGACAGAGTATTAAAGAGGTTAAATGTTGGCCAAACTGTTTAAATTCAAATCTCAGTTCTTTCAATTACCAGGGTGTAACCCTGAGCAAATTAACTAATCCTTCTGATAATAATTATGTACCAATGTTTACTTAATGTTAGTTGTAGCTTTGCTGCTGTTCTTAGTAGAGGGTGCTGTGAGGCTATAAAAGGGAGCCTAAGTTAACCTAGTAGTTCTGGAAAGGAAGACTAAAGCAGAAATCTAATGGGTGAGTAGAATTTGGGTGAAGAATGGGTTGGTGAAATGAGAGGAGTAATACCTTAGGTAAAGGGAACAGCACATGCAGACATGAAGGGGATAAAATGGTAAGGCTGGGTAGGGCCCAGGTCACTGGCCAGATGTACCAGATGCAGATACACTCACTAGGATGAGGAATACTGCAAGAACAGATTTTTATTAAGCAGGAAGGGGAATAAGGAGATCAAGAGTCTGGTTCTGGACTTCATTATGCTGAGATGTCTTTGAGACATAAAATTAGCAATTAGTTTAATATATGGATAAACAAATCTGAAATCCTATTTTCATCATATAATACCTCTAACTTATCAAAATAGCAAGAAATAATTACATATTAAATCACTGTAAAATAAAAAATGTCACATGAAACAAAAGAAATCTCTTCCCTCACCCTAGACATCCATAATATCCAGTAGAAATTAAATACATTTTAATGCTTTGAATGCCCTTACCCATATATAAATGGCTCTTTACCTAAGCAATGCCTAAAAATTACCTGAAGAGCTTTTTTTTTGTTTTTTGGGGGTTTTTTTGTTGTTTTTTTGCCTTCTGAGCCCCATTCCTAAAGATTCTGATTCAGTATGCCTAGAATGGTTCGAAGAAACACTTTTCTGTTTAAAAATTATGGTAAAATACATAAAATTTACCATTTAACCATTTTAAGTGTACAATTTAGTGGCATTAAGTACTGTTGTGCAATATCACCACTACACATCTCCAGAATCTTTTCATCATTCCAGACTGAAACATTGTACCCATTAAGCAGTAAATCCCCACACCCACCTCTCCCCAGACCCTGGTAACTACTGTTATACTTTCAGTCTCTATGAATTTGACTATTCTAGGTACTTCATATAAGTAGAATCATACATTTGTTCTTTTGTATCTGGCTTCTTTCTGTTAGCAAAATATTTCCAAGGTTTATCCATGTTGCAACATATATCAGATTTCATTCCTTTTTTAAAACTGATAACTCCTCATAATCTTTAAAAAAAGAAACAAACAAAAAAAAGAAATACACTATTTTTAGATCCAAAAAAAAGGAATACACTATTTTTAGATCAGTTTTAGGTCCCCAGCAAAACTGAGAAGGTACAGAGATTTTTCTCATATACCCAAGGCCCTTACACATGTAAGCCTCCCCCATTATCAACATACCCCACCAGAGTAGTGCATTAGTTACAACTGATGAATCCACACTTACACATCATTACCCCAAACCTTTAGTTTACATTAAAGTTCATTATCAGTGTTGTACATTCTATGAGCTTTGAAAAATGTATAAAGACTCGTATAAATTATAGTATCACAGAGTACTTTCACTGCCCTAAAAATCCTCTGTACTCTATTCATCCCTCCCAACTCCTGATCTTTTTGCTGTCTACACAGATTTTCCTTTTCCAGAATGTTATGTAAGTGTGTAGCCTTCGTATTGGCTTCTTTCGCTTACTAACAGGTATTTGAGGTTCCTCCACGTCTTTTCATGGCCTGATAGCCCATTTCATTTTAGTGCTGAATAATATTCCACTGTTTGGATGTGCCACCGTTTTTTTATCCATTCACCTACTGAAGAAAGATTTGGTTGCTTCCAGGTTTTGGCAATTATGAATAAAGTTGCTATAAAATCCATGTGCAGGTTTTTGTGTGGATGTCAGTTTTCAGTTACTCTGAATAAATACCAAGGAGTGCAATTGCTGGATTATATGGTTAGAGCATGTTCAGTTTTGTAAGAAATCACCAAACTATCTTCTAAAGTGTCTGTACCTTTTGCATTTCCACTAACAATGAATGAGAGTTCCTATAGCTCCACATCCTTGCCAGTATTCGTTATTGTCAGTGTTCCAGGTTGTGACCATTCTAATAAGTGTGTAGTGGTATCTCATTATTGTTTTACTTTGCATTTCCCTAATGACATATTATGTGGAACAACTTTTGATATGCTTATTTGCCATCTGTATATCTTCGTTGATGAAGTGTCTATTAAGGCCTTTTTTTTTAATCATCACCTGAGATATGTTTTTATTGATTTTTGAGAGAGAGAGAGAAACATCAAAATGAAAGAGAAACAGATTGTTTGCCTCCTGTGCATGCCCCAATGCGGGATCGAACCTGCAACCTAGGTATGTGCCCTGACCGGGAATCAAACACCCAACCTTTCTGGTGTATGGGATGATGCTCTAACCAACTGGGCCCCCCAGCCAGGGCTTATTTCTTTTTTATCCTCACCTGAGGATATTTATCCTATATTTTGTTCAGATAGAGTGGGAGGGAGAGAGACGAAGAAAGAGAGAGAGAGAAACATTGACGTGAAAGGGACACATCGAGTGGTTGCCACCCGCATGACCCAACCAGGGCCGGGGACAAACTGCAACCGAGGTACATGCCCTTAGCGGGAACTGAACCGGGGTTTCTCTGGACCGCAGGCAGACGCTCTAACCGCTGAGCCAAACCGGCCAGGGCTATTTCTTAAACGAGTTGTTTTATTATGATTAAGTTTTAAGAGTTCTTTGTATATTTTAGATTGCAGTCCTTTATCAGAAATGTCTTTTGCAAATATTTTCACCCAGTCTGTGACCTGTCTTTTTATTCTCTTGACAGTGTCTTTTGCCAGGCTGAATTCTTAAATTTTAATGAAAGTCCAGCTTATCAGTTATTTCTTTCATTGATCATGCCTTTGGTGTTGTATCTAAAAAGGCATTGGCAAAATCATCTAGATTTTCTCCTATGTTATCTTCTAGGAGTTTTGAATTTTCTATTTAGATCTGTGATTCCTTTTGAATTAATTTTCATGAAGGATGTAAGGTCTGTATCTGGCATTTTTTTTTTAACATATGGATGTCTAATTGTTCCATATCGTTTGTTGAAGGCACTCTCTATACTCCCTTGTACTGTCTTTGCTCCCTTCAAAGATCAGTTGACTATATGGGTCTATTTCTGGGCTTGCTATTCTGTTCCATTGATCTATTTGTCTATTCTTTCACCAATGCCACACCGTCCTGATTATTGTAGCTGTACAGAGAGTCTTAAAATGAGGTAGTGTCAGTCCTCCAACTTTGTTCTTCGTGGACACTGTGTTGGCTATTCTGGGTTTTTTGCATCTCCATATCAATTTTCAAATCACACAATATCCACACACAAAAACTTGCTGGAATTTTTATTGAGATTGCACTGAATGTAGAGTTCAAGTTGAAAAGATCTAATACCTTGACAACATTGAGTATTCCTCTCTATTAACATGGAATACCTCTTCATTTATTTAGTTCTTTAATTTCTTTCATCACAGTTTTATAGTTTTCCTCATGTATATCATACATATATTTTGTTAGATTTATACCTAAGTATTTCAATTTTGGGTGCTAATGTAAATGGTATTGTTTTTGTTTGTTTGTTTGTTTGTTTGTTTTTATCCTCACCCGAGGACATTTTTCCATTTTTTGTACAGAGTGGGAGGGAGAAAGAGGAAGGGAGAGAGAGAAACATCAACATGAAGGGACACATCGAGTGGCTGCCACCCGCACGACCAACCAGGGCCGGGGACAAACTGCAACCGAAGTACGTGCCCTTAGCGGGAACCGAACCTGGGTCTCTCCGGACCGCAGGCCGACGCTCTAACCGCTGAGCCAAACTGGCCAGGGCAATGGTATTGTTTTTAATTTCAAATCCCACTTATTCATTGATGATACATAAGAAAGTGACTGACTTTTATATTTTAATCTTGTATCTTGCAACCTTGCTATAATCGCTTCCAGGAGTATTTTGATCCATTCCTTCCAATTTTCTACATAATCTAAAATGTCATTTGCAAACAATGTCAGTTTTATTTCTTCTCTCCCAATCTTGTTCCATTAATTAATTTCCTTTTCTTGTCTTGCTGCATTACCTAGAATTTCCAGTATAATGTTGAAAAGCAGTGGTAAGAGGGCACATTCTTACCATGTTCCTGTTCTTAGTGGGAATGCTTTCAGTTTTTCACCTTTAAGTATGATGTTAGCTGTAGGTTTTTTGTAATCTTTGTCAAATTGAGAAAGTTCTCTATTCCTATTTTACTGAGTTTTTACATGAATGAGGGTTGCATTGTGTCAAATACTGTTTGTGCGTTTATTAATACGACTGTGTGTATGATTATTTCTTCTTTAACCTGTTGATGTGATAGGTTACATTAACTGATTTTTGTTCATTCCTTTTAAGGGCTAATATTCCATTGTATGTATATAGCACATTTAGTTTAGTCATTCATCTAGCAGTGGATATTTGGGTTGTTTCTACTTTTTTTATTTTTAAAAATATATGTTTTTATTGACTTTAGAAAGAGAGAGGAAGGGAGAGAGAGAAACATCGACGAGAGAGAACCATCAAGAAGCATCAATCGGCTGCCTCCCACATCCCAACTGGAGATCTAACGTGCAGCCTAGGTACATGCCCAGACCGAAACTGAACCCACAACCTTTTGGTATATGGGACAACA